TTGTTTCCTGAGAACTTGGTTCCCCATTTGTGATCTGCCTGCAAAATCACTTCCTCCCACGACAGTGACATTTCTCTGCACAGGTGTATTTATTCAGAGAAAAGATCTCTAGCCAACTCTTCCAATGAGAGAATCTCAGTATGCCAGAGCTGGGAGATCCTGGGAGACCTCTCACTGATGAGATGAGCAAACTGAGGCCAGGGAGAGTGAGAGACTGACTCACCCAAGGTCACACAGCAAATTAACAGTAGCACTGCAATTAACACTCAGGTGATTCGGTTTCCATTTAAAAGTCTCATCTTCATTCCGGGCGGGGGGAGGGGAGAGGATTTTTCCCCATATTTCTCACAAAGCAAAGAAAGTTAGGAACCTTGCTGTTTCAAACACTTGAGTAAAGCCTGATGAAATGAGAAAGCCAATCTTAAGTGGGGCTATCACAAGGCAAATGACAAAACTTGCTGTCTGGGGCAGATGGTGGTAGACAGGTAGAGCCTGTCTAGTGTAGATCCAATCACCTAAAATCTCCAAGAGCATCAATGTGAGGTCCCTGTGTGGCCCCTAAGGGACTCATCACACACAGTGATGGCATAAACAATGGTTGACAATGGGCCAAGCCAGAGACACCCCTCCTGGTGTTGTCTAATATGGCCCAGCAAAAGGAAATAAAGCACCCAGAAGATACAGACATTCAAAAACTGTTTAAAAAGAAATGTGTACAGACTTTGCTTTCAACAACTCCAGTCGTACTTAGTTTATGTTAAGTCTGGTTTCCATAGAGCCAAAAGCATAATCTTGACATTGCCCAAGGAAAAGCAGTGCTAACGAATGACAATCTATCCATTGTAGTGACCAAGTTCTCTCTTTCCTTTCCAGCCGCTTTGATGTCATCACTTCAAGGCCATATTGCTTTTCATTTCAGCCAGAAATCTCTGAAAAACGGTAGAATTTTCTGGCCTTTTGGCAAGTAGCCAGCTTTCCTGGCCTGCATCATTTTCAGCCTGGCCAACTAAGGCTGTTTCTAATCAAGTTCAAATGAAAGCTGGGCTCCACTCTGGGGCCTGTGGAGGAGAGAATTTAGCTCTAAGCCAGAGCTACAAGAGTCCCCCAGGCAGGTTTCAAATGTCCTTGAATGAAGGCAGGATGGCTCAGAATCAGTCTGAAATCAAGGGTCAGGGTTGTCCTTTATCCTTGTATGAAGAGTCAGTGTTACTTCTCGCTCCCATTTAGAGGTTTCTGGGTATTAAAATGGGATTTCATTTATGGCCTACTTCCCCCCCCCCCCGCCCCCCATTTACAGCAATCATTCTTGAACTTGACTACTCAATACATTATCTGAAGCACTCTTAAAAATAAAACACAGATTTCAGGGCTCCTTACTTGGGTCACTAAATCCAAATGTCCTAGAATGAAGCCTGGAAATGCTTACTTTAAAAAATCTTCCCAGGTAACTCTAATGCCCAGGATTTCAGATTCTAGTTACACTTCTCCTTCTTCCCTCCCTCCCTTCCTTCCTTCTTTCCTTTTTTCCTTCCTGTGGGCTGCTCTCAAAATCTAAGCACCACATATAATAGTTCTGAAAGAGAGACACCATTCTCTATTCCAAACCACCACCAATTTATAAATAGCATGTAGAAGAAAACACGTCTGCAAACCTGGAACTTCTATAGCTACTGACACTGTAAAAAAAAAAAAAAAAAAAAAGATCTTAGAATTGGGCAGCATCTGTGGCTCAGGGAGTCAGGTGCCAGCCCCATATACTGAGGGTGGTGGGATTAAACGTGGCCCCGGCCAAACTGCAACAACAAAATAAAATAGCCAGGCGTTGTGGCAGATGCCTGTTGTCCTAGCTACTCGGGAGGCTGAGGCAAGAGAATCACCTAAGCCCTGGAGTTGGAGATTGCTATGAGCTGTGATGCCATAGCACTCTACCGAGGGTGATAAACTAAGATTCTGTCTCTACAAAAAAAAAAAAAAAATCTTAGAATTAGAGAGGTGATTATGTCTTTCTTCTTGACGCTATGTAGGGAAATACATATGTCTACGTGAAAATTTACATGTTTTATTTGAAGTTTTTATTATATTCAGAATGGCCCAGACGTAAAGCATTAAGTTGGTCTAAATCCTTATGCACTCAAAATTCTGAATTAGGTTGCTATTGTCTTTTTCTTTTCTAAATGAAGTGACCCAAATTTCCTATAATCTTTCCTTGTAGGAATTTTCCCTGCTCTTTGATTACTATTCTCTAGTCCTTCTTTGATATCTTCAAACTACTCTTCATTCAACAGCAAGAACCAAAATACCTTCAGGGCACAATCATACTCGTAGACATAGTTTGAAACCAGTTCGTGCATCTTTTTAGGAGAATCTAATTTATTGCTAGGGGGTGACATAGACTAGCAGGGGCAATTCTAACGATCTACAGATCGTTTTTGCTCCATACCAAGAAAGATTCTTGTAGAATTCCTTTACTTAGAAGTTCTGCTGTATTCGATCTGTAGATAGTTTCCAGGACCCTCTTCCATAAAGAAGATCTGGGTTTGATCTCAAAACCCCTCACATTCTCTTCCTCCTTTCCCTCTGCATTCTTGCATTGTTTCTGCTTGCCTTTTTTCCTTTTAAATGGCTTTTGTGTAGTTTCTCACACTGGTCCCTTCTCCTGACTGCTTTTAGTTTTCAATTCAACAATCATGCTCTCAGAAGACTGAATTATTGGCCTCCTTCTTCACTCTTCCCTGCCCTGTGTCCACTCCACTAACGACTGGCTGTCTGTCTCCCCCCGCTTGGTTTTGGGCCTTGCCATTGACTTGCTTCGGCTAATGGCTTATGGGCAGTTCGAAGTCTAGGCCTTGTTTCTTCTCAGCTCTTTTCTATCTCTGCCATTGCTAGAAACAGAAAATGTGATGGTCAGCCTGTTAGTGCAGGGAAATAAGAAATAAGCTGACTCATTCAGGCAAATCAGCAGAACCATGCCAGTCAATCCACATGGACTTTGTTGCACTCAGGATGCTTATGTCTACATTGAGCCTTTACAGCTATCCAAATGGCACTCTCGAGGAAGCAGCTTAGATGACTGAGTATCCTTTGCAGGATGGGGGAGAATAACTCCTTTCTTTCCTTGGGACAGGAGACTAAGGATATTCATCATTGTAACAGAGAAGATGCCAGTAAGATGAGGGGAAGCAGAAAGTGGCTTTCAAAGTAGGAAGAAATTTTGCCCACAGGAGGCCCAGAGCATCCCTGCTCCTACAGAAAGCAGCTCTGGGGAGTACAGCTCATCCCAGCACAAATCATTACCCATTTGGCCAACGTATAGCAAAGCCATGACTGGGGCAGGAGAAATGTCCCCTGAATCCAGGCCTAACCGCCCACCCCTTTAGGCTCTTATGATTTCTTTCCTTCTGGCTTGGATACCTCTTACAAGGACTCAAAGAGACTGACTGCACAGATTAAGTGAACTTTTTATTCTATTGACTCAAAGGATAAAAAGAGATTTTCTTTATTTTTCTGAGTATATATCATGCCCACCTGAACAATAAACCAGCATGTAAATCATATACTTCACGCCAATGGTTATTATAGCCAGAACTTAGTCTCAACTCAAGGCCCGAGCCTCCAAGTGTAATGGCTCATTCTACAGGTGAGAGTTACTACCATCGGACCATAATAACAACATATTCATATAATAACATATTTGTAGGTAAGCCAAGGTGAAACTGCCAATTCAGTTAGAGGAACAAATTTTCCAACACCATTAAGAAAAATAGATAAGGTCATGTAACTAATGTAATCCTATTTTCCAAATCCTTTTTTGCCTTCTGTCTATAACACCTACTATCTATCTATCCATATGATATAAAGGGCCAGTAACAGTTTAGCCTTTATCCTGCATGTTCTAAGAAAATGCATGAGTGTGTACATATCTATGTGCATGCACACACACACACATGCGTGTGTGTGTGGAGGGGAGGGTGTTTATGTGTACACACATATACCCCACAGACTTTTTCATGGCCAGTTGTCCTTGCAAGCAAAGGACATGCTTGCTTCGAAGCATGCCATGCTGCTTCGAAGGTTCTTTCAGGGACAATAAGACCTAAGCAAAGCAGGGATATAGGCTGACATGTGCCTCTGGGATTTACAGTCAACATGCTTTCCCCTTTAGTGACACTACTGGAGCCCCCTAGGGCCCTCAGAGTCTTCACTCACTTTGGGGTATAAAAGGCTACTCGTAGTTAAAAGAGCTCATAATCTCAGGAGAAAGAAATGAAGCTCTGGAGAGTGAGACTTCAGGCAGAATTTGAGGGGTGAACTGTAGGCACCAAGCTGGTTCTAAGGCATCTACACTTGCCACCTTCCATGCTGGCTATAGTTCCCAAGTGGAAAGCTATGTTTTTGCTCCTGTATAACCCTGGCCAGCAGGCAGGTCACTTATCTCCCAGGCTGAAATGGTCAGATCCTGATTGAGAACCACAATGGAAGCAAACGACCCTCTGAGCAGTGAAAGCAGACGACACAAGCTAATTTTTAGAGAGCAGGCACGTAACCTACAAAGGCGTGCTCACTGACCACCTCTGTACCTTCTAATTCCAAGACCCGTGGCTACCATTCTCCCTTTCCAAATGGACCAAACGTAGCAAATTTGAAAGCAGACCTACAATAGCAGTGATAATGGCTGACAGCCTGACCCAGAGAAGGAAAAAGACCAAAGCTGACAGGACTCAGACAGGAGTTTGCAGTGAAAGGGCAGGCTGGCCACAACAGCTCAGTGGCCCATGAAGACATCACTGTGCTGTATTACAGCCCAATACACTAATTAGTACTCTGGCAGTCACTCGGGTCAACTAGCAAAAGTTAAGTAACATTAAAGGGCTGCTTCTGTTCAGGAAGATAATTCTGAAGTCCTGGACAAGGTGACAGTATTGGGAGACGCCCCCCAGAGGGCAGTGTTGGTTACTGCACTGCGGAGCTACAGCAGGGCACCCGGGGCTGGAGCCACCCACCTCTGAATGTTATCTTCAAGCTGCTTGACTCTGAACTCGTCCTCCTCAGACTGTCGCCTCCTGGCTTCCTCCTCTTCGGCAGTTCCAGCGGGTATACCCTGCAGCAGCCATTTTTCCCGAAGTACTTTGGACTGTGGGAATGAGGAAGAACAATAGACAAGATGATCCTTTTAAGTCCACATCCTTCTCTCCCTCTGCTATTTGAGCTCCGCCCCTCAGCCGTGCTCGGCCTGAATCGCTGCCTTCACCTCCTCCCGAACTTGGCTCCCTACTTCCTTGGGGCCCAACCCCCAGAGACCCACCAGCGGATTTCTTTCACATCATTTTCTATTATTAAAAAAAATTTTTAAACAGAGTGAACTGTACAATGAACACCCGTGTAGCCTCATCTAGATTTAATAATTATAAACATTTTACCATATTTTCCCTTCTTTTCACCAAAGTATTTTAGAGTAAATATCAAACACCATGACATTTCACCCATTACTATTTCAGTATCAGTATTTAAGAATTATGAACATTTTTCTATGCAATTATGATTCTATTATAAAATTTCCTAAGATCACCTAATATCTGGTTAATATTAAAATTGCTCTTTTGAAAGAGGAATCTATCTCATGTCTCTGCCTAAAAACCCTTTAATAATTCCCAACTGTCCTCGCCAAACGTTATAAAAATCATACAGCCCAGCTGTGCCAGTGTACTAACATATTGTACAGTGAAACAAAAAGTTTTCCTTTCAGGCAGCACCTGTGGCTCAGTGGGTAGGGCGCCGGCCCCATATACCCATGGTGGCAGGTTCAAACCTGGCCCCAGCCAAACTGCAACAAAAAGTAGCCGGGCATTGTGGCAGGCGCCTGTGGTCCCAGCTACTCAGGAGGCTGAGGCAGTAGGATTGCCTGAGCCCAAGAACAGGAGGTTGCTGTGAGTTGCGACGCCACAGCCCTTAGAACAAGTACATTTGTCTGGCACCTGTAATAGCCTCCATTCGTAAGTGTGAGTCATGTATGTTAGTCCGGTGTTTGTAGTTTGAGGACTTACTGTAATAACCTCCATTCGTTAAGTTTTTGAGTTGCAGTTGGATATCTGTAACTAGGGGACTGTCTGTACTCTTTGAGAAAGGAAATGAGAACAGCTCAAGAGGGAGGCACCCTTGTACACGCCCGCACAAGAGAAAAACCCAATTCAATTCAAGTTAGGGAGAGGGGAAGGGGAAATGGGGGCTTGTGTGCTCCCAATAGGCACAACGTCAGGGTATGTGGCACACCTCCTGGGTGTGGGACACACCTACAAATGCAAACACTGTTTTTTTGTTTTGTTTTTTTTGAGACAGTCTCACTCTGTTGCCCTGGCAGAGTGCCATAGCCTCATAGCTCACAGCAACCTCAAACTCCTAGGCTCAAACCACCCTCTTACCTCAGTCCTCCCTGGGACTACAGACACCTGCCACAACACCTGGCTAATTTTTCTATTCTTAGTAAAGCCAGGGTCTTACTTTTGCTCAGGGTGGCCTCAAACTCCTAAGCTCAAGCAGTCCACCCCCTACAGCCTCCTAGAGTGCTGGGATTATAGGCGTGAGCTACCACACCTGGACACAAATGCATACATTGTAACCTAATAGTTTGAACCTCATATTAATCTGAAAAAATTAAAAAGAGGGGGACAGGCATGTTGAAACTCCCTAAAAGAAACAGCAGGGAGAGGTAGGTGAGGAGAATTCTGATTTGGGTTTCTGCTTGTTCCCTAGAGGGCAGAGGCAGCTTCTGAATGTCCGCAGAGACCAGATCCAGCACAGTATGGCTGAGGACCAGTGAGTAGGCCTCAGGCAAGTCAGTGGCCAAGGGACAGGACCACCTTGAGGGTGCAGGGCACACAACCAATTGGTCCCCACAACAGAGAGTTACTGAAGAAACAACAGGAACAACGGCTATGAAGGCAACTGACACAGGGTAAGGACCGCTTCCGGGGTTCCCTGGCATCACCTCTATCCAAAATGTTCTTTGATCTCATCAGGTAGGGCAAGCAAAGTGAAAGGAGAGAGAGCTCTCCTGGCTCCTGAGATCCAGGACACTTGGGCTTGGAGCAGACCCTGTAGCTCTTATGAGCAAAACAAATCCACAGACTCTCATTTGTATGTGGGGTTAAGAGCTGCTGATTAAGAATCTATCAAATGAGTTTTTAAAAACTGCCAATGTTTAGTGATAGTGAGTTAGACTAGTGGTCCTGATTCACTCTATGGAGATGTCTAGGGGCCAATCAGCTCTGTGGAGACCTTGCTGGACACCCAGAAGCAAGTTCAATCAGGCTTCCAGGACAGGCCCTGGGTGCGCAATGCCCCCTCTGTGTGTGTGTGGGCAGCTGTGGTTTCTACAGGCATTATTCTTGCCTTTTAATTATAAAACATTCCATTATAAATCATTCTGGGCAGATCAGTTTGGTTACCTTACATAGAAAGGCAAATTTGTAGCACTTAACCTGTAATTTTCTAATAATTAGACATGAGTTCATTCACATAGAAGTGATTCCTAACTGTACTGCTAAGTGACTGTGAATAGAAACACCCCCACACTCCAATATGCTTAAATAATTACACATCATAGGTAACATGTGGCCTGTAAGTGTATCCTATATAAATAGTCTGCATCTACCACCGAGGTAAGTATAAAAACGTACAGTTTTACAGTACAGGGCACCGTTTTGTAATATAGAATCATGTGTAAATGCTCCCAGTACAATTTGTTTATGTTGGTTGCTCTCCAATGTTTTATGAGAGATTCGTTTCTATCAGAAAGTGGGAATGGGTGGGGAAAACTGGTTGCTCTTGCTAAGTGGGCTACGGAAGAAAAATAAACCAGAACCTCCATTATCCACTTCAGCTTCTCCAAATTCCCCAGACAGATCCTGCTTGCCTATCACAAGAGGCCATTTTTAAAATCAATCATTGTTGTCACATTTTATTCAGATACCTAATCTGATATAGACGCAAAATAAACTTTTCATTTGTAGCAATTCTGAAGTAGAAGGATGCTTATTGCTTTTCTTCTCTTGACCTACAACTGGGTTTTAAAATTTACTCCCAGGAGGAGGTTGTGAGAGGCCGTGTCAAACAGCGGCTAACATCCGGGATTCTGGAGCCAGTTGGTCATTTACTGGCTGAGTTACCCTGGACGGCCTTCTCCTCACTGAGCCTCAGTTTGCTCCTCTGTGAAATGGAGGATGACAACAGTGCCCATCTCAGAGGGCTATAATGAGGATTAAATTTGTTCATATGCTAAAAGCGTAGGGCATATACTGTGCACTGTGGAAATGTTTATTACTGCTGGTGTTTGTCCTGTTCTCTTGGCCTGTCCCCCATTCACCTGAGAAAGAGCAGGTAAAAGGCCACCAGAGAAGTCTCCATCGCTGCTGGCAGGATCAGTGTCTCTCGGTCTCGTACAGCAGGGACAATACTGCATAGCACTTTCCTACCGCCCTCAAATTACTTCTTCTTACATCTGTTCCCCTGTAGACCACCAGCTCCTCAAAGGCTGGGGCTGACTATGCCTTATTCATCTTTGTGTTTATTATAGCACCCCGCCCAGTTCCAGTGAATGAATGTGTAAATGGACAAACTGGGAAAAGCTTGATTTTCATTCACTAACTACATGGGAAGAGCGCTTTCTGAGCTAGACTGTTTGGCACTAACCTGGTCCAAACCACAGATGGCAAAAACTTTGATAGGATTTCTGGAGACAGAAATCCTGGCATCCTTGGTGTCTTCGTGAGGACCCTTCTAGAGGGCAGTCACGGGCAGGCCCAGCTTCCTCCACCCCAGCAGGGATGTTCTGAAATCATGTCTTCTTGCAATTGAAGAAAGTGGCTGCTCTTAGGAATGCCCCCTCTGCCCTTCTTCACAGGGTGCCTCCTGCCACCAGGTGAAGGGTCTGGCCCCTCATTTCTGGACAAAGCAGCCTGGTGATCCTGGGCACCCAGAGGCACATGCCCCTCTCTGTATGTCTGCTCTTGATCCAGCAATGACATCATCAGCTCACCCCAATAGGAGGAACACAGAAGAGAGGCTCTAACAGAAAATGGTAGCAGGCCTGATCTCAGAGGGGTCTGTTTCACAAAGGTGTTTTGACACTTAAGAAAATGCATAGTTGATTTTTCACTTGGCTCCAAAGTCAGTCACTTGGCTCTCAGAGAAAAGCACCAATTCCAATACATTTACCTCTACGTCTCTTGTTGTCCCAGAATATACAGGAATATCTGGGTTTCCCCTGTACTGTTGTGGCTTGTACTGACTGCCTGAGTGTTTCAGAATTTGTGATGAGTGTGGCTCAGCAGAAATGAAAACAAAAAATAAAAAAAAAATTCTCTTTATTTGGCCTTTATTGTCCAAAGAACACACATCCTCCCAAATGTGTCACAGCTCACAGGTGCTAACAACTGTCAATCTTCATGTGTCAAATGGGTGCGGCCATGAAGAGAAAGGACAAAGAAGGGGGAGCTGAGAGCAGGTGGCGAGGCAAGTGGAGCCTTGACAGGGGCTTCTGAAAGCCAGGACAAAGGCAGCCCCTACAGTAAGTCTGTTGATTTCTCTACTGGTCCACCCAGCTCTGGAAAACAAAACTAGAACAGAGCTTCTCAAACTTTGGTACGCATAAGGATTGCCAGGAGCACTCACTAAGACACAGATTCAGGGCCACCCCCACAGCAATATGGGTTCTCTAAGTCAGGCTGGGCCTAGGAATTTGAATTTGAATAAGCCTCCATGTGATGCTGTTGTTGCTGCTGCTAGTCCACTAGCCACAATCTGAATAGTACCCTGTGAGAACCTGGGACCTACCAAATGCTCAGGAAATAGGTGAGCTTTCTTGCTGGCTGGCCACACTCTATGATTTAAAGCAGAATTCTTCCTCCTCTCCTTGGAATCCCCATCTCAGGAGCAGTGGCTCCCCCATCCCCTCTCTCCCTGCCAGGCAGTCTACCAGTCCCTGGCAGACAGACAGGCAAGTCCCTAGTCTCACGGAGCCTTCATCCCTCACAGGAATGCAAGACAATCTCAGACTCTGAAGCTGCCCGGGAGGAGGACAGCAGGACAGCATGATAAAGAAGGACTGAGGGAGGACACTCTAGGTAGGAAAGGGCT